ACATGACACTATAAGAACCTGACAACCCTCAATCCAATATTGTCATTTTTCGTTCTTCCTCCCTCTCTGGTGCCTGCTCATGTATTCCCCGATCTGTTGCCAATCTCCCAATGACGCGAGATTGACAGTTCCACAGCTTGCGAGAGAAATCGAACGGTGGGGGAGGCGGGGAGTGGGGGGGGGAAAGTGATGTGAGGAAGGAAGAGGGGATGAGGTGGAGGGTAGAGGGTGGAGGGAGTGAGAGGGGGAGGAAGGAGACAGGAGTAGAGAGGAGGAGGAGGAGGAGGGGGAGTGAAGGGAGGGAGAGGGGGAGGAGAGGAGGAGGAGGAGAGCGAGGGAAGAGAGGGGGCGAGGTGCGCAGGGAAGAGGGGAGGAGGAGGACAGAAAGAGAGGGTAAAGGGTGAGAGGGGAGAGGGGCAGAAGAGTTTAGGAATAGGCATACCGATAGAGGTGGAAGTGGTGGAGTGGTGAGAAATGGTTTAGACTCGAGAGGAGGGGAGTAAGAGGGAGGGAGGCAGTAAGAGTGGGGGGAGGGGAGCATTAGGCTGCACGTCACTTAGTTTCAGGTTGGTGCTTGGCTGAAGGAAGGAAAGGGACACAGGGGAGATGGGACGAGGAGGAGAGGAAGAGAGATGTGGAAGGAGAAGAAGAGTCGGAGGAGTAGGAGGGGGGACGAGAGGAGGAAGAGAAGGAGGAGGAGGAAAGCAGGAGGAGGAGGAGGAGGGAGATGAGGGAGGACGAGGGGTAGAGGGGGGAGGGGAGGGGAGGCGACGAGGGGAGAGGAGGTAGGAGAAGGAGTCAGGAGATGGTGGGGGGCGGGAGGAAGACGAAGAGAGAGAGTATATGTAGGAAAAAAAACATTGAAGGAGGGAGAACAGGAGAACAACGAGCAATGATAAGGAGGAAAACCAGGAGGATGAAAATCCAACCAAGAAGAGATTGACGCCAAGAACAACGAATAAAGCTGCGGGAGGGCGATGACGAGGACGAAGTCGAAGCCAAACCCGAAGACGACGAAAAAAGACGAAGGCATAGACGAAGACGGAGACGAAAGCGAAGACGAAGTCGAAGCCAAAGGCGAAGGCAAAGACGAAAGCGACGAAGCCAAACGGCGAAGACGAAAGCACAAAGAGAGACGAAGGCCAAACCCGGAGACAAAGGCGAAGGCATAGACGAACACGGAGACGAAGCGAGATCGAAGTCGAACGAAGGCGAAGGCCATAGCCAAACCCGAAGACGAAGTCAAACCCGGAGACGAAGACGAAGCCATAGACGAAGTCGAAGACAAAGATTAAAGCGAGCAAAAAGCGAAGACGAGGCCGAGGCCGAGAGCAGAGCCGCTTGGAGGGCCTGGCACGGGGTCACGCCTCGGCGGTGGGCGCGCGGGCGGCGGCCAACAAAGACGAACGGCGTGTCTACAAGCGGAGAGGTCCCTGCGGCAGGAGGGCGGGCGGCCGAGGTGGTCGAGGTCAGTTGCCTGGGGTCGTGACCTCGTGGCCTCGTGACCCAGGGTGCGCGCGCGAGCTGC